CTCTCTTGACCCATGATTGCCTTTAGCTCAGCCATATTACATGTGAACATGGCAGGTCCCTTCTCTTTCATGGCATCCCCTGGGTGACGCCTTCCAAAGCGAACCCCCAAGCTCTTTTGCAAAAGCAGAAGTGATACCCAGCAGTATGCACAAATCCAACAAGGTGCCACTGAGTTACCGTTAAACCATATTGCAAAGTTTACCTTAGTTCCTTGAAGGGGTCTGCCCTGACATTGGGAGTTTCTATAGATTTAGGGAACACTGTGCCTTCTGCTCCTGAAATCACAAAACAAAACAGAAGACAAAATGTAAACATTATAAGCTCTTATCAGGGGAGTGATTGTCAAATCATACCTAGGTGCAATTTAACCCGTTGCCTGACCCCATTTCTGTCTTACACACAGCCCTTCTGCCCCAGGAAAAGCCAGACCTTGATCATCTGGAATTGGTTGCCTTGATTGCAACTGGGATTTGCCTATAAACTGCACTTCTGGCTGTAAAAGCAGCTGCTTGCACCCTGACTGTGGGAAGTTTGCCAACCCAGCTGATGCAGGGAGATTGGAATAGTTACCTCCTTGGTAACCAGACATCTAATTCAGCTAAGTCCTTCATTAATGAACCTGGATGCACGTCAATGCCATTATTCCTTTTGCTAGGCTATGACGGATACTCAAAGGAGAAAACCAAATTTTGGCTCAATCACTGCAAAATCTCTCAGGTCAGACTGTGCTTCTGCCTGGGGAAAAGGAGGGAGATGTGCATCTGATGAAATGCAGAACAAGCAGGCAGCAGATTGTGCTCCAATCCCAGCCTGGCCACCAGTTTGATTCGTGACCCAGAAGTCATTTTAATTCTGCTCATTTCTGCCTTCTCTTAGAGACAGTGGGGAAGGCATTATCTCCATTTGCTGACAGTTTTTAGATCGTGACCTGTAAACTACTAGGTAATATGAACAGCTTTCCTAAATTTCCTGCACTCCCCTTCTGTGGCCACTTGCAGAGCCCAGGTTGAGCCACGCCACCCAGCCATCCCTGCAACGGGTCCATATTATGTGACCGAGCCATGCTGTGTCTCTCTGGAAAGATGTCCTCTCCCCGGAACATTGTTTTAAGCCAAAGGCAGCCCAAGCCATCCTCTGGTAAACCTTTCCACTAATTGTTCTAATTTTAAAATGTGCCTCTTATCTGAATTGGTCTCAGTTCAGCTTTCCACCACTAAACCTTCTCATGTCCTCACAGGCCAGCCAATCCTCCTTGCATGAGCAGACTCTCCATCTGCTGTAGACAGTTACTGATGGTGACCCAACCACCCCACCCTTCTCTGATTCTCTGAAAAGTTTTGACTTTATGAATCATTCACTGTGAAGCAGATTTTCTGGACTTCTCACTGCTCTTTTCCGAATGCATTCCACTTTTAAAAGTTGGGACACAGGTGTCCCCAAGTGCTGTCACTGATGCTTTGTGCTGCAGAACATCACACTGTCACTCCCATTGAAACTTCCAATTAAAACACAGCTAAGAACTGGCACTAACTGGCACTGCTTTACACACAGCAGTGCACTAGAAGATAACGTGCACGTTCTCTAATATATAGCTGCCTACCCAGTGAGGAAATACGACCAGTATTCTTAAATTTAGACCTGTGGTCTTGTGTTCAGACACACTGTAAACAATTAGTCATTCATTGTATGTAGTCATCACAGCGATTTCAGTGTCAGCAGCAAACAGCACCAGTGGCATTTCTTTATTTCCTTAATTTTCCCTTTGATAAAGCTATCGGACTGGACCTTTTACGTACGCTGTCTGCCATCTCTCTTAACACGTGCTATTGTAGTTGTCACCTACGTGAGATCTGGAAGTCACCCCTCCGAGTAAAAAATGTTCCGAGACGATGCAAAACACGTTAATACAACATCCTTCAGTAACTTCTGCTCTAAGTGAGAAACATCTGTGGCTTCAGTAAGACTACACTTCCTTTAAACTGAAATAAATTAACTGAGCTGTCCCACTGTGTTAAAGAAAAAAATCAGAATGAAAATAAGCACTCTAACAGTTATTAAAAAAAACCAAAACCACTCCTTTTTAACCTAGAGAAAAACAAAGTAATCTCAAAGACGATAAAAGCAGTCTGAAGTCTGAAGCTTTATACCTAGGAATTGAAATTGATCCTATGGCACAATACAGATATTTAACTCTTAACTTTACTATAAGCCTTCATGGTTACAAGTTGTCAAAAGCAGCTGTAACTTGTCAGCCATGAAGGTTATTATTACCAGATCTGTCCTCTCTCAACAGTTTCCAAATGATTTAAGCCTCTGCTTATCCACACAATTGCTCTTCACTTTGCAAAAGACACTGCCTGCACATATGTGCATAACAAAATAATGATTTTCGAGGGGAGGAAGATGAGGAAGTGCAGCTGGAGAGGTGCACACAGATATTCTTGTACCTTCTCCACCCATACGGCTTCAGTGGTGACTTATGTTGGTAGTTCCAGTTCATTTTAACACACTTTAAGTCAGCTAGTTCAGTTATGCAAAGCCCAAAATAACAATCTACACATAAACAGAAATGCCTGTAGAATAAGAAGAAACTTTAGCATATTTCTAATGACTTGGGGTTTTCCAGACTTTCAGTATTTAATTTAAATGCCAGAAGCAGCTTCGGAAACAAAGCCAGAGAAGATGCCGACGCAGTCATTTCAGGAAGGCTGAAAATAAAAAAGCCTGCTACTCCTTTCCTCCATATCCTTGTTTTCCTTTCACTACACACAGTTCTTAAAACCTCTTTTCCAGTCTTTTTTATTCCCAGATCCATGGAAAAGCCTCTTATGCACTGGGAACAGGAATGAGATTTGCAAATCCTTGTGTTTCTCTCCTTCTTATATGAATTACGAGTGAACGCTACCTGCCTTGCTAAGGCTTTCTGCCTTGACAATACCATTTTTTATAATTCCGTTTTAAGAACACAGTATCTCCCAATGGACGACCTGTCCCTGTCACTGAGTAGGACACCAGCCACGAGGGGATGTCTAGGAACCAGGACTGAGACATCTCTCTGACTCTGGCTGCCAGCAGCTGAGGGACTCCTTGAGCTGGCTGTGTCATCCAGTCACTGGAGACCCACTGATAAGCTTTCCTCACCTCACCTAATTATAAGTAGCCCTGTTTCTGTAGCAGCATTCTCACAGAAAAACTAACTACGCTGAAGATCTTCCTTTGGTTTCAACCTGCTGCCTGATTTCACTGCACGCTTGTTCTGCCCTGGACTGTAAAAAAAAGGAAATAAGCACCCTCCTCTTTTTATCCTACTGGAAATACTATAAATCTCAAATATGTCCAGTCCCAGCAGCTTTCTCTCTTCTACGCGGCAGAGACTCAGTCTGTGCCTGGGGAACTGGCGAACCCCAAAGTGCCTCCCGATGGAAACAACCGGCCTGGAGAGATCAAACCACACTGAAAGCTTCCTCCCCAGCTTTCATGGCAAGAACGGCTCGGAGGCCGGGGCCCGGAACCTTGGCTGGCAGCTATTAGGGTTAGGGTCTGTAGAACCAGAAAGCCCTCAGGTCCATGGATATTTGGGATTGCAAAGGCCTGCTAAGAGGAGCATGGCACTCCACCAACTTTGCTCCTTCCCCAGCTTTCACAGCTGGAACGGCGCGTGGGTCAGGGCCAGGAACCACGGCCAGCAGCTATTAGGGTTAGGGTTTGGATTCACAGAACCAGAAGGCCAGAAAGGTCCAAGGATAATTGGGATTGCAGAGGCCTGCCAAGAGGAGCACAGCACTGCACCGACATTGCTCCCCGCCCAGCTTTCCCAGATGAAGCACCCATGGTACGTAGTAAGTAATTTCTTCTCTGTGTTTGATCCTTCCAGGATGGGATCATCCTTGGATAAGAGCATGTGCTAGTCAAGATTCATGGCAGTGGGATAAGGCCAAATTTAAACATACTATACTATACATCCCTAGGTAATAATTTTTTTTTTTCACAGTATGCTATCAGAGTGACTTCTATTAACAGCCAAACCTTCTGATTCCCTATTCTGACACTGTGTAATTTAGCACCGAGAAATGTCCATAAACTGTTTGACTGAAAAATCCATAAAGCCATTTCAGCTTTATTTTAAGTTACATTTAATGTCCCTCAAAAATGATTTCATCAATGTTTTTCCATTAGCTGGTTCTCTGCCCAATAACTTAATTCCACACAATCAGTCAGGAAATTATAAAGCATATGACAGGATCTACCTCAAGTGTTGTGAATGACCATAAAAGTTCTCTGAAAGAGTGAGGGTTTTTTTTGCCCTTCTCGGGCATAAGGTATGGGGGGCACAAACCCGAAAGACTCTTACAGGTTCTCACTTAATGCAAGAACAAAACTCAAGAGTCCTATGGCAAGGGAACATTTTCAGCTCAACTTCAGGGTTTGGGAATATTGTTTTGTTTGTTTCCCTTCTTTCATTTGAGACTCGGTAGTGTCGGGGTTTAACCCTAGATAAAAACTAAGCAGCACACAGCCACTTGCTGTCCTCCCCCCAGCCCCATTGAGATGGGGGAAGTGAACCAGGGTAAAAGGTAAGAAAACTTGTGGGTGTATGTAAGAACAGTTTAGGAATTGAAAATTAATGAAATAAAATATTGATACTAATAATATGAACAATATTAATAATACGGGAAGTGTTAATAATATTACTACTACTACTACTACATAATGAAAATACTACTACTACATAATGAAAAAATAGAACTCCCCCCCCCAAAAAAAAAGATACAATCGCTCACTACCTGCTAACTGACACTCAGCCAAGCCCTGAGCAGTGAGAGCCAGAGCGAGTGTGAGCTAGAGCCTGAGAGGCCCGAGAGCTAGACTCCCGGTCAACTCCCTCACTTCTTATGGCATGAAATATATTCCTTTTGCTGTGTCCCTTCCCAGCTTCTCTGCAAGAAGCTGGGAAATCAGGGGCAGTAGGAGAAACAGAAGTCGTCCTTGGCTTAACGTAAACATTGCTTAGCAACAACTGAAACATCAGTGTGTTATCAACATTCTTCTCAGCACAAATCCAAAACACAGCCTCATACCAGCTACTGTGAAAAGCAGTGACCCTATCCCAACCAAAACCAGCACAAGAAGAAAGTCTGCATGAGAACAGGTCTGCCAAATACAAGCTTATATTTTCTCTGGCACTACTGGTTTCTTAGAAGTCTACTGCCACATCCAGGAGACAAACCTGGTTGCAGTTTGGACTACTGCAAGTGAATTGCTTGGGCAACATCCA